AGCGAGCCCTTTAACTGCCAGCTTGGTATCGTTGTTTAGTGCCTTCTGATTACCTGCTTCATTTTTCTTTTCTTTTCTTTTCTTTTCTTTTCTTTTCTTTGCTTTTTTCATTTTTTCTTTTTTTTTTTTTTTTTAATCCTTTTTCCTTCCTCTTCTTCTCCTTCTCTTTCTTCTTCTTCTTTTTCTTCTTCTTCTTTTTTCTTCTTTTTTGTTTGTTGTTTATTTTTTTTCCATGTTCCTTTTTTCGGGATGGCCGAGTGCCAGTAGTACTTACGGGTGGCGACGTATGGTGACTTGTGTTTCTTTATTTCTTACGTTTCGAGAATATCTTATATAGAACTTCTGTTCAACTTAAGAAAGAGAGAGAGAGAGAGAGAGAGGGAGAGAGAGAGAGAAAGAAAATTCTTCCAAATGGTGGTAGTGTACGATTCGTCCCAATGGCTTGTGGATAGTGGGAAGAAGAGGGCAAAGGAGTGAGGGATGGTGGCGGGGGTGGGAGGGGGAGAGGGGGTAGAATGAGGGCCCCACCTAAAACAACGACCGATCGGTACCTGAACCTCGCTATCTCACTATAATGGTGTACCATGGAAGAAAGGGCCCCTGGAGATAACGCCGACGGACAAATGTGTCGAAAGATTTAATGTATTATATCGCCATTGTCGTTAACTTAACTTAACTTAACTTAACTTTACTTAACTTAACTTTGATTTAACTTGATTTGTATTGACTTGATTTGAATTGACTTGATTTGAATTGACTTGACTCATCTTGACTCGATTTGACTTTATTCGATTTGACATGATTTAATTTGACTTAACGTGACTCAACGTAATTCGATTTAAACTTGATCTTTAGATTTGATACAATTCAATTATACGAGAACGTATTTTCTTCTGGTTTTTTTTTCTTTCTTTTTTTTTCTTTCCAAATGTCATAAAAATTTGGATTAATTTTTATAATGATCGTATACGTGTATTCGCGATACTATATTTACAAACAAAAAGGCACGTATTCATTATTTAATTTTTTCATTGATTATTTGATTATTTGATTATTTTTATATTACGTCGTTATCGGTATTGATATTGAAATTGACCTTTATAATGATTTCTTCGGAAAAAAATTGCAAATAACATATTTATCATCAATGTTACGATGTAATCTGTAATTGTCTTATCTAATGAGTAAATAAAAAATAGTCCATACATGTATGTGTGCCTATGTGTATATGTGTTTACATACATATATATATATATATATATGACATAGTTTATACATACGTAGTAATTTTTTATCGAATATTTGTTTGATAATTTTGATAATACTTATTGATCTATCCAATAGTAATTTTTAATACATTTATATATATATATATATATATATATAATTTTATTTATTTAATATTATATATTGTTTATATTTAATAATAAAAAAGTAATTGGCGAAGTAGAATTTAAACGAACACTTTTAATTTTAACTTCATTTTTAATTTATCTCTTTTAATCATTCCTTTCATTTTATATTCGATTTTTATTTATTTCTTTTAATCATCGTTTCATTTTATATTCAATTTTTATTCATCACTTTCATTCATCTTTTATTTTATTCATCCTTTTTTATTCATTTTATTTAATTCATTTTTCATTGGGCTCATTTTTCTCATTCACTTTTCATTCGGTTAATTTTTTTTCAATTCATCCTTTTTTTTCATTGTATTTCTTTTTTTTTTTTTTTTAAATCGATTTCTTTCAATTCGTTTCTATAATTCATTTTTTATTTTCAATTTATACGTCTAGTAATTTTCCCCTATGTGCATGTGTGTTTATTGAAAAAAAAAAAGAAAACAATTATTGATTCTAAACATAACAATTTCCGTACTATAGATTTTAAAATCTTTCGACGATACGCTCCGAATATTTTCGTCTTTCTTAAGATCATAAATCTGGGTCATAATTGGCATGAGCCGTTTAATCGAAAGAACATCTCAGGTGTTACGACCTAACGAGGTCAATCCAATATCTAATATTTCTTCGACAAATTTTACTTTTTCTCCAAAATTTTCTCCTCTCATAAAAATATAAAAATATTTTTCTCCTTTTCTTTTTTTTTTCGAGCCTCTTCTAAAAATATAAAAATAAAGAAAAAAAGAGTTATCAGGTGACAAAATATCAATCGTATTTATTCACCTAACAAATATCCAACAAGTCTAGAATTTAACGCACACAAATAGATAATTGATTATTATTATTATTTATTATAATTTTAATTATTATTTTTTTTTTTTTCATTAATAATAAAAAATATAAATAAATATATGAATACTTTTTCAAAATAAATACATATATATATACAAAATGCACATATTAATATGCATATTTTTATTATATATATTATTATATTTAAATAAATAAATTATATACATATAATATTTTTATTAATGTATACACATACACACATACGCGTATATATATATATATATATATATATATATATCGGATGA